TTTTTGCCTCGTTATGGAATATTGCCCAAGCGGCAAGAAAGACGACAGCATGTCGCCCTCGTCTCGCGGCCCGAGATTTCTGACAGCTGAATCGACATGGTGCAGTGTGTGCTTCTTCATCATCATCGCCTGCACCTCATGCTGCTCGGCTTCGTCGGCGTCGTCGATCTTCCGCGTGGACCGGGATGGATCCTGGCGGGGGGGGGACCTGCGCAGCTCGCCGGCGCGGATGCCGTTTGAATTGGGATCCCGATCCCGCTCGGTCAACTCCAGTGAGACGGCGAGTAGAGGGGATGAAGATTCRTCGGAATCTTCACCCGAAAGTTCAGCGATRGCATTTCCGGAGTCGCAAAGACCCCGTCGCCTGCAGAGCGCGCTGCCGYTCCAATTCCTGGACACGCASCGACTGACTTTCAGCGGCAATTTGCTGGAAGGAAAGATCTTTGTGGACMGCGAAGCGKACTCGGAGGATATCGTAGCCGTCGACGTSWCAGCCATCGATGGCTCGATCTACTTCATGATGATTGATCGGGCATGGATGCTCTCCACCGCGATCGGGACCGGCAGCGATTCCAGTTTCGCCGGTCCTTTCCCCGATGCCAATGGCTTCGCGAACGCTCCCGCCTTATCTCTGGTAGATATGGCGCTCTACGGCGGCGGCGACGAGAGGCTCCTCGTCGTCGCTGATCTGGCTAATGGCTTGTTAAGGGCTTTCAGGCTAGACTCTCTGGGCCGCCCACCAGCGGTYTGGGACGTGTCGGGACACGTCGGCGCGCAGGAGGGCGGGATCTACAGCGTTGCCGCGGATCCAACGCGCCAGCGTCTCTACKTCTCTACAGGGCGTGATGTCCTCTSGATGACCATTCCCTCTCAGCTCGACGGATCGGTAATCGTGGAGCCATTGGCGCGCTTCGCGCCTGCGGCGGCCAGCGGCGCTTCCGCCGGCGKCGGAATAGCTGCCGTCTTTCCCGTTCACCTGAGCCGCCACGCCATCTCCGYGGATGGACAACACATGTACGTCGCCGACACGCTGTCGAATTCCATCCACCGCATCTGGATCGCGACGGGACTTACCCAGCCCATCGGGATCGGGATCGCCGCYGGCGGCGGCAATTCCACATCATCGTCATCGTCGCAGTTCCGCTCTCCGCGTGGCCTCGCGCTCAMGCMCGACGGATGCCACCTCTTCGTGTCGGAGGAAGAGACCGGTCGCATCCAACTCGTCAACTTCGAAAGCAGCGGGGGCGACGTCGCTGGCATTGACATCTTGGCTGGCAACAGCAGCAGCGTGCGGAGTACAGAGGCCTCGATGTTGTCGCTATACGGCCTAGCGATCTCGCCGGATGGAGATTACTTGTACGTAGGATCTGATGACGTGGCACTTTACAAGTTCCAGATCAACAAGATGAACTTGCCGCCTTGTTCCCCACCCCCCCTTGTTTCGATTTCCTCCCCACCCCCAATTTCGTCCTCCTACCCACCCCCAATTTTGTCCTCCTTCTCGCCACCAGCAATTTCATCCTCCTCCTCACCTCCCCTTCCTCCTCCTCCTCCTCCTCCTCCTCCTCCTCCTCCTCCTCCTAGTGAGTCGTCGCCTGATGGTTCTGTTTCCTCCCAATCACTGCCTGTGCCTTCCGTTAGCCTATCTTCTCAGAAAGGGCGGACAAAGAGGGACCATCCCGATCCCGGCGCGTCCTCCTCTTCCGCACCGCGCAGATCAGGCGATAGCGATAGCAAGATGGATACTGCCGTACTCATTGCTCTCGCTGTGGGGGTTCCCACCGCCGGGATCGCGGCTGCGGTATTGCTGGTCTGGATCTTTTGCGGCGGCTTCGTACATAGACGACGCCGCAATGATGAGGCCGCCGCCGCCGCCGCCGCCGCACATCGTCCAGTAGGAGAGATCGAGCCAGTGGCAAACTTTTCCAAGGGGCAGGGGCAGGGGCAGGGGCAAATCGACGTGGTGGCGGCGACGCATATGCCTCCCCGACCCCCTCAGATCGAAAGAGTAACAACCCAATATCTAACGAACGGGGAGCGGGGGGGAAGGGGAGGTAGGCATTGGAGAGGCGCAAGTGGGGCTATCGAGCTTCCTATTTAAGAAAAAACGAAATGGAAAACGAAAAAGAAAATCGAGTGATCCGAAAAAGGAACGCCTTTCACACGTGGAGAGACGCCAAAAAGAAAAAGAAAAAGGAAGAGGAAGACAGTGAAGGCGTCCTTCGGGACATCCGTTAAAATTGGAACGATACAGAGAAAGAGAAGATTAGCATGGCCTCTGCGCAAGGATGACACGCATAAATCGAGAAATGTTCCAAATTWAAAAAAARAAAAAAGAGAAGACAGTGAAGGCGAAGTCGTATAAGAAGACGGAGACGAGGGAGACATATACTCGCACTGGGACTTTTTCACTTATTTATATGGACGTAATTGCGGTCAGATAGCACCCACGTGAGCCCGTAAATGCGGTTAAGTACATTTAAGACCGAACTTGTGTGAGGGCGACGGAAGACGAAGTCGAAATCGAAATCAGAGTAGTGAGTCGAAGTCGGACTGCTGCGTTGACTGGAGGACGTGAGAACAAAGCACACCTTTTTTTTTTTTCTTTTTTTTTTTTGTCAATCCACACCTTTGATGGCTTCGCGCAGGGATGAGTTCGGAAATATGAATTTGTTAAATAAAGAGCAGTTCGGGAAATATCATTTTTCTAAATGATAGTTAAATAAATGGTGACAAATTGACAATTATATGTTTCCCACGAGTCAAACCTGTTGACGAGATGGGTCGAGAGGGAAAAGGAGGAAAAGGGCGGGAAAGGACCTGGAAGGAGGGGAAGGAGGGGAAGGAGGGGAAGGAGGGCTGGTGGAAGAGAAAGGAAATAACAGAAGGCGGTATAGGAATTGTGATAATAATCGAGTGTCCGCGAGTCAAACCCGTTGACGAGATGGTGCGGGTGGAAAAGGGCGGCGAAGGGCGCGAAAGGGGGCACCGAAGGGCGGAAAGGACTGGGAGGAAGGTGAGGAGGGGGAGGAGGGGAAGAAGGGATGATGAAAGACACGGCAAGAAAGAGAGGAGGGGATAGGAATGGTGATTATTAAAGCGCTCCGGCGAGTGGAACCCGTTGACGAGATTGTGCG